ATGGCAGGGTGCCAGTCAGGGCCAGTCTGGCTAGGCAGGATTTTTCCCATCAATAATTATAAAGACACATCTAGTATGGCTTTAGGAAATTTAAAAAAAAAAAAAGGTGTATTTGGTGACTTGTGAAACAAGGGCCAGGGCTGGCTTCAGGCATGGTTGGATGCAGGTGCGCAGAGAATGGCACCAGGAAGCCACCACACCAGGTGGGCTTCTCTACAGGGTAACCTCTGTTACTCCTCTGGCATGGAGACCGCCAGGCCAGCAGCTGCCACCAGAGAAAGTCCACCCTGCCTAGGGCTCCAGCCAAAGTCCCATGATTGTTGCTAGCTGGAGGAAGGCACCCATCCTGGTGACTCTGAATGGCCATCCCGGGCGGGACCTCGCCATCTGAAACCAACTGGAGGAGGAAGGAATGGCTCCCCCAGAAAAGCGCATTGCCTGACCAGGTGCTGATGTGTTGGGCCCAGGAGAGGGACGAGAAGGAGAAGGGACCCTGAGAGCTGAGTGAGGTGGAGGAAGTAGCTCCTCCTCAGCCCCTTGTGAGCTGGGATGTTGAGCAGGGTCACAAAACCTCTCTGCGCCTCAGTGTTCTCATAAAATGAGAAGGGGACAACCACTATGTTTGAGAACTAGAAGAGTCTAGGAAAAGGGCCCGTAGTGTGGTCTGGAATGAGTGTCACAGCCCAAAGCTGTCCTTGACATTATTGTCATTATGTCTGAGACCATTCCTCCTGCCCTGCTCAGCCTGGCCCCTCCCCGACCTCTGCCTGTTCTCAAGAGGAAACAGTCACATCTGCAACTCAACCCCTGGCCCTCAACCTTGACATCTCCTCTAGGGGTCCAGCCCCTGACCGTTCCCACCCCAGCACCCATCACTGGATGTACCACAAAGCCTGAGCACCTGCAGCAAGCTGTCCCTCTGTCCTCACCAGACCGGAGGCACCAAGGGGCCTACCTGAGGCCACACTGCTGGGAAGTGGCCAGTTCAGACTGAGAGTCCCATTCCAGCTTCTCCCGGTCCTGTGCTCACCCCTACCAATGAGCAGGCTGGAGAGAAGCAGGTGGGGAAAAGTGATCCCCCCCCCCAGGTTGGGCAGCAGGGACCGTCCCCAGCCACCCCAGCCCCCTGTAGTTGGCCTGCCTGCCGGGAGGCGGGATGCAGGCACTTAATGACAGGTTAGTGCAGTGCTTGTAGACTGTCCGCAGGCAGCAGGTGCACTGCCAACAATGAAGCAATTTGGGTAATGACGGGGAGGCCTGCTGCGGCCGAGGAGCTGCTTCCTGCCAGCGGAGGGGAGGGCCCTGCAGAGCTGCAGCCGGGCAGGGGGACCAAACTGGGCCTGGCTGTCCCCAGGCCGGCCTGGGCCCACACTGCAGAGGAAAGAGCTGAGGCCCAGGGCCCGTCTGACCTCTCACACTCTGGGATAAGTAGGCAAAGGGCTGGGTATCCCCTCGGGGTACTCCCAGCCTTAGTGCAAACCTGCTGCGGAGGCTGGAGCCATCTCTGCCCCCAGGCCTCAGTTTACCTTCCAAGCACACCTCCCGCAATCTTGGCCAGTGGCCACAGTCCCCTGCTGCTCTTCCCGTCTCATCCTGTCCCACAGCTCAGACTCAGCCGGGGCTGACAGAGGGCAAGGGCTGCTTCCCTGACTCCCTCCTGCACCCAACATAGTAGAGGACATACAATGGGTGCCTAATAAGTGCTTCATGCTAAGGTTGACAGAGTTGGTTTTGGTTCTGAGGCTCACAGACTCCTTCCCAGTTGCCTTACTCTGCTTCCCAGCCTGGGGACACCCCTGCCTCCTACATGCCCACAAATGACAGGGGCCTGCACCCTGTCCCCCAGGAGAACACAGTCGGGCAGAAGGGAGCAACTCAAACACAACCATCCTGTGGTGCCTAGCACACAGTAGGCGCACAGGCACAATGTGATGGAGTGAAGAGTGTGATCTTTAGAGTCAGGCTTGGTTTCAAGTGCTGAGTGTGTGACAGGTCGAGTCCCCAGCCTCCCAGCCTGGCTCTCTGGCCTGTAGAACAGAGTGCATAGGGTCCCCTTTGCAGTCACAGACCTGGGCCGACACCTAGAATTCTGTCATCTCATTAGATCCTGGCAAAAGGCTTCTTGTACCCTTGAGCTTAGCTGTGAGCACTGGGGTGGGGCAGGAGCACAGGCAGGGGACGGCTGGTGCCATGCAGCTCACCACATCTCAGGCTCCAGAAGCCTCACCGGGGAGACCCCGGGCATCCCTGCTCATACCCTGGCAGAGGAGGGGCTAGGGTTGCCTGCAGGCACCCTGAGAGGTTAGGAAGATTGGGAAGCTCCCCAGCCTGTGCCCAGAACCTGGCCTCACGGGGTACCCTCAGATTCAGTGCCAGGGCAGGCGAGGTAGCTGACACAGGCAGCCAGTGCCAGCCTCCGGGGGGCCCAGTCAAAAGGGCCTGGGAGGTCCCCACTGGCCCTGGGCCCCTACTTCCCTACAGTCCTGCCTCTCACTCTAGGTGGGCTGACAGTGGGCCCTGGTGGGTGGCCAGGCCACCTCCTGTTGTTCCCAGGGCAGCCTCGTGCATCTTGGTACTGTTTGTTCTTTAGGGCCTAAAGTTGTCTGTGTTGCTTCTGTGGCAAGTCCCTCTTCCCGCGGTGTCTGGCACACAGTAGGTACTCAGTAAACAACAGCTGGGTTGCTGGGCCCCAGCAGCGGCTTTGTCTCCTCAGGAACTGGGATTGCAGAAGACGCTGGGATGGCAGAAGGCACCTGGGTTGTTTGTTTGTGGGTCCAATAGACTCCGTGTCTTTCTTCTCTCCTCCTCCGTCCCCACACAGTGGCTCTGGGAGCGGCAGTTTTCAGAGATTGAAGGCAAAATTGCTTGAAAGCCTGTGCTTTTATTCTCCAATTTGTAGCTATTTAGCAGGGCCGGGCAGAGGGGCAGCCAGGGCTCTGGCTGTGCTGTCGCGTGGAAGGGCCCGTCATTGCAGAGAGCAGTTCTTTGTCCTTCCCTAGACACTGGGCTAGGGGTCCAGGCCCAGTGATAGAGGACAAGGGAAGCCAATGACCAACCTGCAGGGGATCCACAAGTCCTCCCAGGGACGAGGCAGGGGCTCCCTGAGCCTTGAAGGCAGCCTGCACCCTTGTGCACAAACTCCGCACTGCATTCAACAGTGCCAAGGCCCAGGTCTTGGGCAAAAATTAAGCCAGGCCAGTGTCCTAGGCTCGTATCTCCCTCTAATCCCTAAAGAGCAGCCCGAAACCCAGGGAAGCAGGATTGAAACCCAAAGCAGGAGACAGCTGGAAGGGCAGGAGCTGACCTCAGGTTTCTGGGAAGTGTGGAAAACACGCGTGTGGCCCAGCCACGGGGTGAGGAAACTTTTGGGCTGGGCTCCCCTTTGCAGTGTTGAGAATTAGCGCAACTGTGAAGCGATCTGTGTGTCGTATCGTGTGGAGGACTCCACGAAGCAGTGACTGTGAGGCACTGGTCATGAACTGGCCACTCACTGTCCAGGATGCCCTCACTGTCCAGAGAAGGAAAGGTGGAAGCCCTGCAGACTGAGGCTGCAGGGCCAGGTAAGAGCCAGGGATAGCAACAGGACCCTCTAGGCTGTTCTGTTTCCAAGTGGCTTCTGAACCCCTGGGTGAGAGCTGGCCTTAAGGGCTGTCCACTCACCAATAGCACCATCCACCCTCCATCCTGCAGCCACATGCACCTCCAGGACTTGCCCAGGACAAAGACACTCTCCCCCTGCTCCTCCATCAACCCCTCCAGCTCCCTGTGAGCACAGCTGCAGCTCTCACCCCCAGCAGCCCTCTTCGATCACTACAGCCCGCCTTCACCCCTTTCCCGAGCTCCTCCCCATGCATGGGGCATGGCCAAGGTCCTCTCTGGGCCCTGGATGGGAAGCCATGGCTGTGAGGATGCATGGCTCCTGCCAGGAAGGCCAAGCACCCATCCTGGAGGTGGATCTCAAGGCAGGTGTGAGTCCCAGTGCCATGCCACCCTCCCAAGAAGGTGCACAGGCTCCTTCCTTGCCTGGAGAAGTGTGACGGTCTGGGGCACCAGTGTCTCACTGGGATTAAGCCCTGGGATGGCAGACCTGTCTCTCCTCCATTCTTGTCTCCCTGGGACCTCTGGCCGGAGCATGGGGGCTCTGACTACTACATGCAGCCCTCAGGAGTGAGCACCAATAAAAAAATACACTTTATTGCGAGTTCACGATGCAGGGGCAGCACAGCAGGCACAGGGGCAGCAGAGCATGCAGAGTGTCTGAGGCAGGTATACGGGACATGGCAAAGCGACCCTCTCTGGGTGTCCCCCTGCCCTGCTCACTTGCCCTGCACGTTGGGGAAGCCCCACCCACTCAACAACCTCCAGCAAATTCTGGTCGAACAGAATTCTGGAAGGGAAGGCCATGGCTAGCAGCGTGGGCATCACGGCCAGTCAGGCCAGTCCTGAGCCCGGGGGTGGGGCGGGCAGCAGCAGCTGGCGCAGCTCAGCCGGAAGCTGCAGCACAGGGGGAGGAGGGCGTGGGAGCCTACACCTGCCAATCCAGCCCTGAGCTCCTCAGCAATTTTGTCTCTCTTGATTAAACATCCAAGGAACATCAAGTTCACAGACGTGTTTTCTTCATCTTCCTGAAAACGCCCAGAATGGAAAAGCAGAGAACAGCTTCGAGGTTTCTGGGCACTTGACACTTTGTGGGGCACAGTTGGAGGGAAGAGGGATAAAGGAGCGAGGTCCTGGGCTTAAGCGAGAGACAGAGGTAGTAAGGGCAGTGTCCCAGCTTGTCTGGGGAGAGGAAAGGTGTGCAGGTGTATGCGGGCGTGTGCACGTGCGGGAACACACTGCTGGGTCAGGAGCCTGGAACACACACCAAGCGTCGGCTTTGGGGAGGACACCAGAGAGAACGCACTAAATGCGAAAGGCAGACACCACTGGCCACTGCGCTGCTTGGGGGTGGGGGGCGCAGAGAGCATGCCTGGGACCCCTGGACTGTCCCTCCTGGAATTAAGCAGGATGTGGGTAGTAGGGTCAGCCCACACTCCAGTTCAGCCAATGAGGTCCCCAGTCAGCCCACCAGGCCGTCCCCACTGCAGGGCAAATGACTCAGAGAGGCTGTCATGGCATATTTAGGGTGGGCCACAGACAAGGCGAGGCTCACCTCCTGCGGGGGAGAGGCGAGCCAGGCAGGGGCTGCCCAGGAAACGGGGCACAAGGAGTGTGACTGCAGAAGGGCACAGGTGGCTGGCTTACTTCCAGCACTGCTCCAGGGAGCCATGGGGCTGAACCTTCAGCTTCTGGGGGCAGAGCAGCTTGGTGAAGGCTCGGCGGAAGCTGTAGTGGCACAGCGGGTAGAGGACGGGGTTCACAGCTGAGTTGGCCCACAGGAGCCAGAAGGATGTCTCATACCAGTAGTCGGGGATACAGTGGCCATGGCAGGCAGCTCGGATGATCATCAGGAGCGTGTACGGCGCCCAGCAGAGCCCGAAGATGCTCACAATGACAGCCAGTGACTTGGCCACCTTCTTGTCCCTTGACAGCCTGAAGCGCTGGGTAATACTCTGAGACACCATCTTCATGCGCTTCTCCAGTGACGCCGAGGACGCCGATGGCTTGGAGCCTCTTTTGAGTGAGCGTGGCCTCTCAGTGCCCCTGGAAGAACTGCCGGAGCTGGAGGTGGGTGAGGCCGTGGCACCCCCACCACTGCCACCACCAAGGGCTGCGTCCCCAGCCTCGGTGCCAGGGCCTGCCTCGCCCACCCCATACCTGTGCAGTGGCATGGCCTCCCCATGCCCCTTTGGCCAGCAGCCCCAGCAGCTAGGGTGTGGTGGGGGTGGCGAGGGCTGGGGCTCGGATGGGGGTTCGGGGCCGGCCTCACGGGCCCCATCTAGCCGGAGGCGGGTACGCCTCTGGATGTTCAGGTAAATGCTGAGGTTGAAGAAGGTGACACTAAGGAAGGGTGTGAAGAACTCGAGTGTGGATGCCGTGATGAGGAAATACCAATTGTAGAAGAACTCAGCATAGCAGTGGCCCTCGGGAATGGAGCTGCCACCCGACAGGTACTCCCAGCTCAGGATGGCTGGCCCATACAGCAGGAAGGCCAGCACCCACACCAGCGCCATCTTCTGCACCGCCCGTCTTGTGTCACCCTGCTGGGCCCGGTACGAGACCTGCAGTGGGACGTGCAGGTCAGGAGGGCAGGAACACTGGACTAGGAGCCTAGGGCAGCAGTGGACCTCTGTGCAAGCCCTTTGCTTGCAGCAATGCTCCCCGTTCTCCTCTCTTCCCTTTCCCAACCTCTTTCCTGCCTGTGCCCCTAGCTGGCCTGTGCCTGGCACACCCTCCTAGAGCCTTAGAGCCTCCCGGTCAACCTGAACCCTGCCCCTTTACCACCTCCCAGGGTCCTGTCACTGACCACTGTATCCCCAGCACCAAGCTTAGCACCGCCCACACTCAGAAGCCACACACACAGTTGTGGGGCATTCTGTAAAGGCCTGAGCCATCTTTGGAGGCGTGTGTGCACCTAAGGGGTGGATCGAGCTCAGGATGGCTGGCCCATACAGCAGGAAGGCCAGCACCCACACCAGCACCACCTTCTGCACCGCCCACCTTGTGTCACCCTGCTGGGTCTGTTAAGAGACCCAGAGCAGGTGCTTCACCGTCTGGGAGCTGGAAGCGCAGGGATGAATCCATATGCTGCCCCTCCTCCACACACACACACACACGCACAGAGTAACCAAGCATACTAGCCCCGTAGCAAGACCTCCGGAAGGAGAACGGGTAGAGAAGGTGGGGCCAGAAAGTCCTTGCCAAGAAGGTGTCTCCAACCTCCATGCAGATAGCAACCTGCCAGTAGGGGCAGGGTGGCAGGAGGAGTCAAGGGTCCTGAAGAAGTGAGGAGGGTCTGATAGCTCCCCTGATTCCTCCCACCCCAGGGAATTAACACTGGGGGCCACAAGAGCAAAGATGAGTGATACAGCAGACCACATCTCTATGGCACTTGCCATGTGCCTGCTGTGTGCTGGGCAGGGATGTCACTCATTTAATCTCAAAACAGCCCTATGACTGCCCCACTTTCTTGGTGGCTTGAGGAGGCGTGGGAGGGACCCAGGTGAATGGGCTCAAAAGCACCCCATGCTGGTGCTCATTGCACACTGTCCTTCAGCCTTTCTAGGCTTGAAGGAAACCTGCTGCCCCAGTAGGGGGCGCCCAAGAAAGCCTGGGTGGGCGAGCTGCCAAGATGAGGAGCTGCGGCAGCCCCGCCCCAAGCTGGGTCCGCACACCTCCCACGCAGCAAGTAGGTGGGTCCAGGGCTGACCCATGACGGTCACTCATGCCAAGAGGAACATGTGCAGTCGGGAGTCTGCCTTCTCCTGGGGCCATATGCACTCGTGTGGGAGCCATACAGATTCTCCCTCCACTCCAAAAACATTGGACACGCTCCAGGGCAGAGGCCAGACAGTGGCTCCCCTTCCTGCAGGAGCATCTGATTCCAGGGGGGCTTCCCGCCTCCTGCGTGTGCCAGGACCAGTCCTGCTGGCAGCAAATGGCCTCTGAGTGGGCACCAGCTGAAGAATCCCCATGTCAGGTTCAAGGCCAGTGGGGTTCAAGCCCCCAGGCACCTGCCCACAACTCAGAAGTAGCCAACCCATTTCCAGTCATCCCCTCCCACTATCCTGCACTGCCCCCCGCAGGAGTGCGCCCTGAACCTCTGTACCGCATTCCATGACCCACAACTCACAGCTCGTGTGACTGACAGGAAGCGGTCATAGCTGATGAGCACGATGTTGAAGACAGAAGAGGTGCACAGCAGGTAATCCACCACCAGCCACAGCTTGCAGAGACCCCGGCCAAAGGTCCAGCGACCGGTCAGCACATAGGGCACATACAGTGGGATGCAGAAGGCCCCTGTGGGGAGAGTAAGGCTGTGGTGGGACCATGACTGACAAGTGTCTGGGGTCAGACCCACCAAGCCCAGACCCAGGGAGGGCAGGGCATGGAGGCCACAGGGCATCCATCTTTCTGAGACCAGCCATCCTTATCCTACATCCTCATGCACAACTGTGTAGCTGCTAGCTTTCAGAACCCCGCATAACTCCCAGCCCCACTGGTGTCTGCTGCCTTGGGGGCACGAGGGAGGGTCCAGGCAAGGAGACCTCTGGCCACTACAAGACCCAGAGCCTGGGTTTCTGCCCAGCCCTCCGAGGCCCTGAAGGGAGAAAGAGCATTCCTTCCCTCTCCCGCTCCCATGCCTGCCCCAACCTCCTACCCTAGCTGTTAGACAGCCTCCCTCCTCGGCTTAACCTTTTTCCTGGCTTAAAGGGCGCTTGGCTGCAGCCCCGCCAGCCGCTCCCACCGCCAAAACCGGCTTCCAGCGTCTGGGAGCCGCTGCATCTCGCAGCCCCAACAGGTGTCTGGCGCTCCGGCCCCCTCCTTGCGCCCCGCCCCCCAGTCGGCAGCAGAGCATGGACACGTGAGAGCGCGCTCCTCTAAGCATCTCCCCCACCCTACCCTCGCCTTCCCCACGGCCCCCTCCCCAACACGGATTTAAACATCTCCCCTCCCCCTCCCCTCCCCCAAGTCCCCCCCCAGAGCCCTCCGCGCGTCCTGAGTCCGCCGCAGCCTTTGTTTGCCTACGGCGCAGGAACCAGCGCTGCACCCGCTGCCGCTGCGCCTTGCGCCTCGCCAAGCGCCCGGCGGCTCCGGCCCCCTCCCTGGGGATGCCCCTGCCCAGCTCCGGCTCCGCGGCCCGAGAGGCAAGGAACTTCGCCCGCGTCCACCGCCCCATGGGCTCGGGACGCCCCTCCCCAGGCAGGGTTCCCCGCGGAGCGTGTGCTTGCGGGAGACACCCCAGGTCGGTGCTCCAAGCCCTGCTGACCCGACTGGGCTCGGCGCCGCGGGGCTCGGGAGGCAGGCGGGGTCTGGGGGCTTTACCCACGAGGAAGTCGGAGATGGCGAGGTTGAGCAGAAAGAAGTTGTTCTGGGTGCGGAGGCTCGAATCGGCCACGAAGGCGAGCATAACCAGCGCGTTGCCCAGCACCGTGGCTACGATGAGCAGCGCCATGAGCGCGGCCAGCACCGCGGTCCAGGCGGCCGAGAAGCCGCGCGCTCCGCCCGCCGCCGCCGTCTCTCCCGCCAGCGCCCCAGACGCGTTCAGCAGCCCGTCGGGCGGCGAGCGCTCCATGGCCCCGCAGGCTCACACGGCGCCGGGACGCGGGCTGAGAGCTGGGCGGCCGGGAGGGGCCCCGGCTCGGAAGTCTCGTCTTTGCCGGCTCTCCGCCCAGTCCGGTTTCCTGGGGGCGCCCGGTGCATGGTCCGCAGGGCCGGTGCTGAGGTCGGAGCCGGTGCCGGGGTGGGCGGCGCAGAAGGCGCTGGGGCCCGAATCCGAGCTGAGTGGGGCGGGCGGCGCGGCCGCTGCAGCGGGAGCGGAGCCGAAGCCCCAGCCGCCCGCCGCGCGTCCGTACACCCCGAGCGCAGCGCGCAGCCGAGTGCGCCCCGCGCTCTGCCCGCCGCCCCCCGCGCCCCGCGCAGAGCCCCCGCCATTGGCTGGCGCCCTCGCCCCGCCTCCGCCCCGCCCCCGCCCCGCCCGGCGCGGGCAGCACCACGGACAGCGCCGCGTGCCCGCCCGACCGGCTGGAGCCCCAGCCCGGGTGCGTCCGGCGACTGGCGTGGAACCCGGCCAGGGCACGGCCGGGCCATGAGGATGGGGGCTCGCCTGAGATCGCACCTGGGCATCGGTCTCCGGGTGCCCGGCTGTCCCCGTACCCTCGGCCCCGGTGACCCCTGCCCGGCCCTGGTCCGTACTCTAGGTGCCTGTGGGGTCCTGGGGTGGGGTTGGGGAAAAAATGCCTGTACCCAGCTCAGGGTGACTTGCCCCGCAGGGCCTCCCACCCCTGCTTTGGACAAGTGCATTTCTGGGGGGAAGAAAGGTCCGGAGGAGAAACACTGGGGAGGGGGGGTCTCTGAGAGCGGTGTCCTGACAAGGGGTTCACTCCACCCCCTATATGCACGGGACCCTGGGTCTCTGACTCCAGGTGGCTAGGGCCCAGAGCAGGGTCCAGGGTGACCTGCAAGGCGCACACAGATGTGGAGTTACATAAGGGAAGATGAGCCCGAGCGGACCCAGCCCAGAGCGGAGCAAATCCAACCTGGGCTCAGGCGGTACCAGTTGAAGGGTGGGGGGGGGAGCGACAAGCAGCTTGGTGCCGGACCATGGTTCCCCCAGTGGACAGCGTGGTGGGGTGGTCACAGCTGCAGCGGACAGACGAGGTCATTGCGCTCTGGGCGCAGCTAGGGCGGCGGCGGCTGCGTTAGCGCCCGCGGGAGGGGGTGGAGGAGGAGAGCTAGCAGGAGGGAGTTCCTCCTCCCCCAGCACGCGCTCAGATACCCAGGGTCAAGGGCAGAGTCAGCCAAAGAGCTCACCACTAGACAGACAGACAGACAGACATGCCCACGCTCAGACACACAGACACCCACAGTCAGGGAAACAGCTACCCAGCTTCAGGCTGGGATCGACGAACAGTCAGACATCAGACAGCAGACAGGGAACAGTGCCCGAGGGAGAGGGAAGCAGCGACTCTCCTCTGCTGCCAGCGGCTGCACATCCGCCGATGCCTCAAAGGGGACAAAATGCGGTCTGGTGTGTGGGGAGGGGGGTGGGGTGGGGGGGAGAGAGGCGGCTGGGGGAAGAAGTTGCAAGACCCAGGCACTGTGCCAGGCACCCCCATACTGACAGCGGTTTCTGGTCATGTGAAGGCCCGCCCCTCCCCCCCCAGCCCCAAGTGGTGTTTCCGGAACTTTGGGAAGTGGGGGTAGGGATCCCTCTGCTCCCTCCGCCCGGGCGAGGTGCAGAGAGGATCCCCAGACCCGTGGCCCCAAGCAGGCTTCCAGGAGCCTGCTGGGGGTGGAGGAGGAGCGCTCCAGCTTATCTCTTCCCAGGAGTCCTCTAACCTGCTCCTCTTACGGGCTTCTCCAGTTCCCCCTCACACTCTAGTTCACCCAGCAGGCAGGGGCTGTGCCCAGAATAGGCACCTATCTAGTGGTCAAGGACATCCCTGGGCCTGGGCAACAAGGACCCCATCTGTCCCTGCTGGACTACATTAAGCTTTTCCAAACCTCTCTGTGGTCTTTAGTGCTGGGCAGAGCTTGCTGTCCCCAGACCTAGCCCACAGCTTCCCCCCACCTCTCCTGCCCTGCTCCTGCAACTCGCATAAGGGTGGCCCCAGCCAGATAGGCTGAGTGGGACCTCCAGGGCCTCAGGAAATGGAGTTGGATGGGGGTTAAGTGGAGGACCTGGCTCCTGCTCACTGACTGGATCCTCAGTGTCCCCATAGAGGCACTGGGAATATAAGTCATAGTTTGAGAAGCAGAGTCAAGAAGAGTCTGTAAAGTCCTTGTAAAGTCAGCACTGTTCTGGTGGTCATTATTCTGGAAACCTGGAGAATGCTAACCAAGCCTGGGCACACCGCCTGGCACCCTGAGCAGAACTGAGGACTGAGGTTCTCAAGGCCCGCCTCCATTCCCTTCCTCCACCTTTCATCCCTAACTGTCCAGGCCTCCAAAGATCTCCCTGCCTGCTGCCCATTTCCAGAGAGCCTCCAGGGCAGAGGAGGGCACTTCTCTGGTGGTGTCTCAGTTCCAGCAGCTGGGTGGCAACAGCTCAGCCCCCACTAACCCACAATTTGGAGAACCCCAGCCTATGACAGACTGTCTATCAGACAAAGAGGTCCTGCGGGGCCATCTCACTGCTCCCTTCTGGGGAGCCAGGAAGAAGGCCAAGCTCAGGGTAGTACATCTTTCCTAAGGGGCGCACAGCTAGGGCCATTTCAGACGCTGGCACCAAGGGCCCAGCTTTACAGCCTAGGGGTGAGTGATGAAATGTCTCTGCGCCTAGCGGTTTTCCATAAATGGAGTCCAGCAGGGCACCGAGAGCTGGGACAGCCCAGAGGTTTGATGAGGACGGTGGTGGATGGTGCTGGGCGCCCCCTATTGACCAGATTCCTCGCCAACATTTATAAGCATGACCTCATTAACCCCAGACACCCTAAAGGTGGGCAGGAAGGACCAACACCCACTGTGCAGAGCCTGCAAGCCACTTGCCTAGGGTCACACAAGACCTAGGGCCCATTCTCAAGGGCCACAGTGCTGGCCCAGTCCTAAGGTAGAGCCCTTGAGGCCAGCACATGTACCAGCCTGGCCAGCGCCCATGCCCAGAGCCTCCGCTGGCCCTAACAGCCAAAACAATTCAGGTGAATGGGGCAGGTCTCTAGGTGGCATCCTACCTTGAAGGAGTCTGTCCCAAGAGTGGCTATCAGGGGCTAACAGAGTGACTCAAGTGGTAGAGCACCTCCCTACCAAGTGTGAGGTCCTGGTTTCAAATCCTAGTACTGGCAAAAGGAAAAGAAAAAAAAAAGACTAAAACAGGGGCTGGTGGAGTGGCTCAGGTGGTAGAGTAACTGCCTAGTGAGCGTGAGGTCTGAGTTCAAACACCGGTACTGCCAAAAACACCAAACAGAAAAAACCCAAGAGTGGCTATCCCAGTTGCACACTATGTGTAGAAAAGGGAGCGTGGCCAGGTGAGACTATCCATGATTCCAGGGGCAGTACCCTGGCTGGCAGGCTAGGGGCCTGGGAAGAAGGGAAGGAAACCTGGAGACAGAGACAGGGAACCTGGGCCAGAGCCTGTGGATGGCATGTGACCATGGGCACCAGTGTGATGGTTTTTGTGTCACATGCAAACACCCACCAGGGTGCATCCACCCCAAAGGGGTGATGTCAATAAGCAGCCCCTGCCACCTGCTACCCAGATCAGCATGATAGCTTGGATGCAGTGGGCATGCTAGAGGCTGCATTTGGACCCAGGGGCACAACTCCCACCTGCTCAGGCCCACTGTTACTGTGGCTTCTAGATGTCTGGCCACCACCATAGTCCAGTTCCAGCCCCCAAAGGGCTTGACCCTGGAGGATGGCCCCTAGTGGCAAGCTGCCCCCGTATCTGCTGCCCTGGCCTTCACTGGCTGCTATACCTGCTCCAGGTGCAGCTCTCCCCTCCTGCCTACAAAGTCTGCCCCATAATGCAAGGGCTTAAAGGTTCCAACCCATAGGCGACCCCTCCCACACAGTGTTGGCCACAAGAAGGGGCCCAAGCTGTATTGCCAGCCACACCATACAGAAGAATCTGCCTCCCAGGATAGAGACAGCCTCTGGCAGGCACACAGCTTGGGGACAATAACATGAAGACAGATGCTGTCCTACAGGATGGGGATTGTTAATCAGAGACCTTTCTATGGCACTGCATCTCCAACAAGAAGGGCACAAGTGTCAGGATCCAGGAGTGACAACACTCAGCGTCCCTCTCAGTGACCTATGGGGACTTTGTTGTCAGGGCTCTTCAGGGTTAGAGGTCCTGTCTCTGGAGGAGGCACACTCACCAGGGAACACAAGAAGGTCCTTGGGCCCAGGTCCCAGCAGACGAGGAGGTCAGGAAGGGATAAGTCTGTCCAGCAGGAATAGGTGAGGCTGTGGCCGCATAGGGACCTGGAGGGTGAGTGTGGAACTGGGGTCCTCTGGTGCCATGGGACGCCCTTGTCTAGTTGCTTCTGAGAGTGGACAGGTGCAGCTACCCCTGCCTGAGGCAGGGCTCAGACCCCCTCTATATCACCTGCAGAAGTGATGGTTGGTGTCGTGGTGGGGACACATGGAGTGGAGGGAGGGAGGGGATGTGCACAGCCTGAGGCCAAGCCTACTTCTGGCCCAGTCTTTTTACAGGCAAACCTCCCCACCTCTAGCCCTGGATTGGCATCTGCTCCCTGGGAAACCCACATTGACCGAGTCAGGTTCTGATTTTTTTCTGTTTAAGTTTTAGCAAGGATTTACTTTAGTATATCAGGATATAGTAGGGAGAAAATGCGGATATAGTGGGGAAAAAAAATGCGGGAAGATTTCCTGCTCCGGACACAGGAAATTTGAGTACAGACTCCTGGTTCTGATTTTCAAAGGGTGGTCAGGGAGCCTCCACTGAGAAGGAGACATCTGGGACAGACCCGGAGGAGGGAGGGAGGAACAGCAGCTGCAGAGAGCAGCAGGGGGAAGCAGGTCTAGCAAGGTCTGGGTGAAGCAAGGAGGCCAGTGAGGCTGGAGCAGAGAGGCGAGAGAGGTGGGTGAGATGATGCTCCCTTGGATGGGGTGGCAGACTGGCAGTGGGGT